TTCTTCGGATGCATATAGCATATAGCATATAGCTATATGCATCCGAAGAAGTGGGCTGTAGTCCACGAAAGCTTATGCTCTAATAAATTTGTTAGTCTCTAAGGTGCCACAAGTACTCCTGTTATTTTTAACAATGTCCCTTGTTCCCTTTCCTTTTAGATGCATATAGTCTTTTATACAGAGAAAACTCTGACAGTCTTTTGAATGGTATTACCTATTGGATGCTTTTTTAATGTTAATTTAGATGGTCTGAAACTGTTATTGTTGGAGTTCGGTCCTGTTTTCTCTCTCTTTTTCTCTCACACTTCTCCCCCCAAGAGAAAATGCAGCTTCTGCTTTTAGCTGTCTTTCTGGTCAGTGGCTCACAGCATTGTTTGAAAAGGTGGAGTTGTTTTGATGGCTAAGCCAGACTCTTAAGGTACATCTACACGTGGAGTTGGGGATGTAATTTCCTGTCTGAGGAGTCATATCTGTACTAGCTCTGATGGAACTAGCACTGTAAAAATATAAGGTTTCAGAGTAGCAGCCGTGTTAGTCTGTATCCGCAAAAAGAAGAACAGGAGGACTTGTGGCACCTTAGAGACTAACAAATTTATTAGAGCATAAGCTTTCGTGGACTACAGCCCACTTCTTCGGATGCATATAGCTATATGCATATATGCTATATGCATCCGAAGAAGTGGGCTGTAGTCCACGAAAGCTTATGCTCTAATAAATTTGTTAGTCTCTAAGGTGCCACAAGTCCTCCTGTTCTTCTTTTTGTAAAAATATAGCATAGCAGCAGAGGGTGCACCCAGGGATGTTTTCAGCATTTTGGATGGGATTATACTTGGGGTGGCTAGCCCCTCCCAGAGCTAGCACAAGTATGTCTCCTCAAGATGGGAATTACACCTCCAGCTCAAAATGTGGACATACCCTTAGACAGAAGGTAAAAGGAGAGTGACAAGAAAAAGGAGAAACAAATGAAAGTGGTGATGTCATCTGGTTCCTTCTTTCTGTCCCTGTCTGTTCAGGACATCTTTCAGGATCAGTATGATGAAGGCCCAACAGTGTAATTGACGATCCCAGCAGACAGTGTGGCTGCCAGCTATTATGGTGAATCTAGCTTCCTCCAGTCCACCAGTCCTCTTCCTCCAATTTCTACAGTCTTTCAGCTCATTTTCATGCCAACCCATGACTTTCCCAGTTCTTTTAATCATGTAATAAATCCAGTTTGTGCCAGTCTATTTGGTTCCGACTTTTGCTGACTTTTATGAACAATTTTATATAACAGGCTGAGTTGGACGTCTGTTAGCTGGGACCCATTTAGGGTTACAGGCCTCTGCACAATAGATCTGTACAGTTTTGAACAGGAGAATAGGTGATTCATGAAACAATTTCTGAGTTAAAATGTAGTCTGTGCTCTATTGCAAGGAACTCAACTGAGCAGCAAGTAGAGTTATTAGTCATATGCCACGACTGTTCATTGTTGATTTATTTTCCCACACAATTTTACTTTGTACTACATGAGTGCCATAAACATAACTTTTTTTGTAATTGATACAAAGTGAATTATGTTATTTGTTTTAATACAATCAATACAAAGAAAGTTTAACTTCAAACACAATAGATTATAAAACTCAGGGAGAAATACGAGGTCATAGTTCCAAATGGAACCATAGTTGGCCACAGTTCACACAGTATGGATCGTGTATGTGACGGTAATAGAAATTTATTAGTGCATGACTTTTGTTGCACATAAATTTATAGATAACATAGAACAGGTACATACTGTGTGTAGCATATTGTGTTGTATTTATAAATAGCAGGTATTACTGCATATGGTTTTAACACCTTAGACCTAAATTGAGGTCTTGTTTACATGGAAGAGTTGTATTTGTCAAATCATAATCATTTTAAAAATAAATTTTGTTCATAGATTTATAGTTTCCAAGGCCAGAGGGGACCATTATGATAATAGACTCATAGACTCATAGACTTTAAGGTCAGAAGGGACCATTATGATCATCTGGTCTGACCCCCTGCATGCTGCAGGCCATAAAACCA